AAAAACACGGGGCAGCTGTTGTGTCATAACCTCATCGCAGCTCTCTTCACAAGAAATGTAAACGAGTCGGACCCTCAGGAAGAAAGAAAACATTCCCAGCCGACCTTTAAGGGAGGGGGACTGCCTCAGAAGGGCCAGTTTGGACACTTCTCAAAGAGTTTGGGAATCCAAACACCAGGCAAACAGCGTTAGGCTCCAGCAGCTTTTCATGACTCCAGCTTATGCTCAGAGCTAGGGGAAGCCTGGCTGTCACCGCACCATCCTTCCACATGACGCCTTCGTAAAGCACCATCTCAAGGGCATCCTGACCGCAGGGACAGCTGGTGAAAGCACCGGGGTCCCCACTAGCACAGAGCAGAGAGAGAGCTGAGAAGTTCCCACGAAATCTGTGTATTTTCTGCATAGACTGCAGAGAGCTGCTGGGAAACGGGGGAATGGTGGTTTGAGCTCCTTCACACTGAGAACAGAATTGCTTTGTGAAAAAAAATTCAAGCAAAATGGAATGGCATTTCTTTTCTGGTGCTCCATTCGGCATGTCTGAGCCGCTGCAGCGTGATCTAGAATATGGCTGTTTACTACAGTTTGAAACTGTGTCATAAAATACATATTATGTGAGTAGCCTAGAAATGCACCGAGATTTCAGAGACAGAATTGCTCTGAGCCTTTTTATTAAATGAAACATCCATTTTCTCCCAGGCAGAAATCACAATGGTATCCATCATAAAAATGATCAATAAAGCATTGGGTTGCGACTCCTGCTCTCCAGTTTAATTTTGGTATTGAAATAACGGTTTCTCAGTGCATGGAATTTCCTGGGAATTAATAACAGAGATCAGCATCACAAGGCACCCACCCCTTCTCACTTTTGATTTAATTCCAGAAAGTGCCCACTGCCTGGACTATAGGAACTAGAATTAATGTACTCGCTTGCAGTATGCATGCTTGTACCCAGCTGCCTATGGTAGGACCATCTGAATCACACTGAGAAGCTGCCATCTATTTTTTTTGGGAACAATTTTGGTGGGTTTCTAGGAAAGCATTTTGAGATAATATTTTGGAGCCTGTCATGTCTGAGTCACTACAGCAGTAGGGTGAAGGGAGAGGGGCTGTTTGGGTGGGAACCTATGCACTGAGGTCTATTTGTGAAAAACATTTCCAGCACACACATTTCCAAACGACTTGGGATTGTGGGGCCAGTCTGGGGACAATTTGGGCATGCGTTCTCCTTTGTTTTACCTGATATTCTTTTTGATGATAGCGTTCAAAGATCAAATTGAAAAAAGTACTGATGTTTATTTGTGACTAGCCTTCAAATTACAACACATTTGGCCAAGCAGATCCACAAATGGGATCATCTAAGAGAAGGATTAGGTTCAACTCACTAGCCCTATGACTGATGTACCTGGTGTCTCTTCCGACACTGACACCGGTGCTGCCTCGAGAAGTCATTTCCACACTTAAATACGAATTTCTGACAAGACTATTTTCCTACTGAAAAATGCTATACTGACAAAGCTGAAACCATTTGTGAGAAATGGGTTGTTCTGAAAAATGTCCATTCTCTAGAAATACCAGTGAGAAGAGGTTCAAAATTATCAGAGAATCCCATTAAGGTTGTTTTTTCTATATAAGAACTTTAACGCTGTCAGTTATGTAGTTGCAAAAAAACAGTATAAAAACCCAGAATACACTGCAGATCAAAATCAAAGCTTCCATTAAATTCACTAAGTGAAATGCTTAGCTGTTAGACTTAATTTTAAAATCCATGAACACTTGGATTCAGCAACTTGTTTTCTGGAAGTGATGAAATGGGACCATGCAGATGGGCAGGAATTTGTTCAGGACTGGACAATTTGTGTGGCCACATGAGTCAAGACATTGCCCTGCACAAAAACAAGTCAGTGGGAATTTCCACTGGTGGCCTCACTCAGCACAGATCTGGCACCATAATCCTGGTTGTGCGGAAATCCATGGCAGTCTGCGCTGTGTTTGGGATTAACCTTTTAATGTCTCGTACCGTATGGCGTGTTGAAGCCTGAACACTGGAATCCTGCATCTAACCCACACAGACACTGCCGTGACCCTGCTAAAATATTGCTCACCCTCCCGTGATCTTCCTAGCAGATGAGAAATGTGAGCTTGGAAGTGCTCCCCCTCCACCTCTTCTTGTTGTTCAGCTTGTGGATTTTATTAGCTGTCAACGTGTCAAACTTCCACTTAGCTAGACAGCTGCAGGACTGGCCGGGCTCTAAGGCCTGCCAATAAAGTTTAACAGAGCTATCAGCTTTTCATGTGGAGGAGATTACAGTACGTGAACACTCAGGTATCAGAGGGAATGAATGAGACCTAGGCAGGTTCATCTTTCATGTGGTAAAGCAGAGAGCTGAGCAGGAGAAAGAAGCAAGGAGAATGTATGCACAGACCTTCTTGTTTTTGGTCAGTTTTGGAGCAGTGATTAGCTCAATGGGATTGCAGTGCAGGGGTGGTGTTAATACACGACACAGTCAGAAAGCTGGGTAGCAACATCTGAGCTCTGCTTCAGAGATGGGTTTGATCAAGGGACATGGCTGCACAGCAGACAGAAGGCACAGGTCCAGAAGATGGATGAGGAATGAACAAGCACCAAGGAGCAGTAAGGGCTACTCTCAAGTCTCTTTTGTGACCACGGGTCACCAAATACTTTTCATACGTCCACCTCCCATATTATATGCTAATGTAATAAGCTTCTGCAGACAAAGTCTGTCTCTGGGTAGATGTTAGCATGGCCCTTAACACCCAGAAACCCTGGTCTCAGCCAGACCTACTGTTATTGCAGCTATCTTTAACCCAAAAGTGCACCTTTTGGCCTTAGAAACTCTTCTGAGACAGGAAGTACGACTATAATGTGGTAGAAGATATCCTGCGGGATGGTGCATGTGAGTGCGTTTGTGTGTGTGTGTGTGTGTGTGTGTGTGGCTTTTCCCCCCCCCCCACAAAAACTTGATTGACTAATGTTTGTAGGTCCCGAGAGCCAGTAAAAGATCTGCTCTGATATCCAGAAAATTTTACAAGGGGCGGCAGGCTTAAAAGTGGTGGGAAGAAGCTGAGCCTGCCAGGATGTCAGAATGAGAAAGCCATCAGGAATGTGCCTCGGAGAACAGCTGCTTGTGGAGCCCTGGCAGAAACCTCCATGCAAGCTGCCTGGGAGCAAGTAGGGGGATTCAGAGATCACAGCTTGAGACAAGGGAAAGGTTCTCCTTATTTATTTATTTAGCTTTCCCTTTCTCTGCTCTCACCTCCCTCCCTTCTCCCGGTCTTGTCACAGTGAGGCCAGGACCCCTTAGAAAAAGAGAGAATCTGCCTCTGTTTTTGCACTCCCTGGCACTTCAGGGCTCTTCCCATCCTCCCTAGCATGTCCTCATCACAGCTCACACAATGCAGGTTTTCTCTTACCCCATGACAAGGTATTACCTGAACTCTGCTCTTTCTTGAAATGCCCTTTTTTTACTTTTTGCAACTCCATTAACAACTTCATGTTCATCTACACAAGCAAGAGCAATTAGGAGTAGAATATGAAAAACAAAAACGGGGGAATCCACACATTCCAACATTTAGTAGATTAGTTCCCTAAATTAGCCACTTTTCCCAGTCTCCATCTAAGGTCCTGCATGTCTAGCAAATTAACACTCTTACTGTTGAATACTCTGACAAGGCCTTTTGACTAAGATCAAAACTGGAAACAGCTTAAAGTTCACCAGATTTCCTTTTTGGTGTTTTTATAAGGCAGACCACGAGGGATGATGGATTCGGGAAAACCTGGCACCTCCCAGGAGGAAGCTGGAGGGATGTAAGGATGCGTCTGCTGCAGGGCTGTGACTGGCTTAACACTGGGAAAAGTCCTTAGCCAGGGAACATCCCAGGTGTGTGGGAGAAACACCCATGCCCAGACAGCTCAGGGAAAACAGCAGAAACTTTTGGCGCTTTTGGCTTCTGAGCAATCACATCATGCTCATCATCGTGAGAACCACAGAACAACAGCAAAAAAAAAAAAAAAAAAAAAAAAAAAAAGCCTGTTTTGTTCTGGAGAAGCAGGTTAATTGTCTGTGTCCTTGCCACAAGCCTGGAGTACTTTCCCTCCTCTCTCTGCCCGCAATTCAACTGTTGGCTGTGTGTGCAGAGAGCCCTGTGCTTAGCCTGAAACCTAATCACACCAGCCACACGGAGGACGGACTGCTGGGGTCTCCATTTCACTTCTTTAACCCAGCACAATCCCCAATCCCTCCCCCTTTCCTTCCCTTTCCCCAAGGGACTCTATTATACCCCCCGATCTGTTCACACTCCTTATCCCTCTGCATGTTTGCACACACTGCTGACCCAGCCTTTATCTGGAAGACATAAGGGTCTCTGTGTGGAGTTCCCACAAGGGCTATTAATCGTGTAGATGTCAGCGTCCCCCGGCTCCAAACCCTCCCTTCCTTCTCCTCCCCTCTTCTTCCCTCCCCCCGCCCGTTTTGTACTCTCTGGAGATCGGGGGGAGAAAAAAAAAGTTTTATGAAAATTCACACACACAACTTGCAAACTTTGCAAAATATGATCTGCTCCCCTGGGCGAGGTTGGTAAATGGCGTGATTTCTCCTAAAACACCCCAAATACAAACATACACACACGCTGCTTCCTCCTAGGCAAATGGAGGAATTTCCTCACACAGAAAACAGAGCTGAGCGCCTTGCCAAGTTAGGGAAAGTTTGGCTCCTAGTCCCAACCTGGATGGAAATCCTCCAGCTGGTACCTCTGCAACAGGCCAAACACAAATGGCATATCTGCAAATTCATGGGAACGTGGGAATCTACAGAGCTGGATTTTTGCCTCAGATTCTTGTGAATGGGGCTCCAGAGAAGAGGTGCAACCAAATTACCACCTTTCAGCACCCTCCTCCCCAGTGCTACCACCTCCTTTCCCCCAAGGTAAGCAAGAAGCTCTGCCACCAGGTTGACTCGCCATGCGCCAGTTCTCGTTCTTACCTGAACTCGGGCCTCAGTGAGCTTGGTTCTCTGAGCGAGCTCCTCTCGTGTGTAGATGTCTGGGTAGTGGGTCCTTTCAAAGGCCTTCTCCAGCTCCTCCAGCTGCTCAGCGGTGAAGGTGGTTCGGCTGCGGCGTTGCTTACGCTTCAAAGGCAGGTCTGGTTCGGATTCAACATCAGAGCCTTCATCCAGCCTGTTACCTGGGTAGGAAAGAAGTACGAAATTACGTTTGCATGGGTAAAAAGCAATAGGGAGAAAGGCTGTTGAAACAGTTCGGCATCGCAGTAATCTCAGTTCTGTAATGAAAGTGTCCATCAAAACAAATTATCTGTCCCTGTGCAATATAGCTATCAGCTCTCTACTGCTACTGTAGTTTCCTTCTACTATTTTTTCCCCACATTGTAAAAAGACAATTTAACAAAATAAAATTTGTTTGCATGAATGGGATGGCTCAAAGTCCACAGTGGTTACAGCGAAAGAGCTTCCAGTTGTTGATTTATGTTATTTCAATAAATTTCCATTTTTAGTTTGGAATGACTGCTTTTAAGAGCTGCACATTTTATATTGAACATTAGAAACTGAAACAAGTGCACAAAGATTTCAACACATGACACTTTGGCTTCTGCAGCTATTTTTCTCTTGGTTTTTTTTTTTTTTTTTTTTTTTTTAAGTATTAGCGTTTGATATTTCAAGTTTTTAAAGAACATTGGGAAGAAAAGGAGAAATAGGAACTTTTGCATTTGGGAAAAACATGTCCTGCTCCCCTTCATCTTTGTGTTGGACTGCCCACAGGACACAGTTCTTCTTCTCTTACTTTGCAAATTTCAGTGGGCAGTTTACAGAAGGTCAGACTCTGTGAGCATTAAGGTGAACAAAAGTCCTCCACCAAGCTCTATTTGTTCACCCATTTCCTCCACCTTCCCTTGCCCTGGATCTCTGCCCTTCCCTTCTCCCTACCTTGAACCCCAGGCCAAACCTATCCCGTTCTCAGGCTCTTTGCTTTTCTCTCTCCTCCATAGTCAGCAGACTGATGCCAGCTCTTGTCTGAGCAAATTAAGCAGGGCTTGCTGACGGTAAGCGCTGTTTGCAGGGCGCAGAAGGTGCTATCAAACAATAAACCCAAATAGAGCTGGAATAAGCCCAGTTCTGTTCCTTTTGTTATCCACTGGTAAAGCAGAAGGCACTATGTTGATTTACACCAAGGCTACAGCCAGACCCATGGATTTTAGATGGGATGCACTGAGAACGGCGTTAGCTGCATCCCCAGTGTTTGCGAGAAGCCTCTCAGGGTACAAAGCTGCAGTTTCAGAAATCTGTGCCCGAGGCCTCAGGTTATCGCTTCCCTGCAGTGCAGACAGTGACCTATGGAGGATCTCAGCTAGGACAAAACTTTATGTCTGTCTTTGGGACAGTGAAAAATATGCCAAGGGATCACAGCACTAGAGAAAGAAGAACATAATATATGGAGCCTTTCAGCTAGGTGAGAGATCTGGCCTCTGCCAGCTTAGGATCACAGAATCACTAAGAGTTGGAGAAGATGTGCCAAGATTATCTGGTCCAACCATCCCACTACCAACGTTACCCACCATTTTACTCACTCTCATGTAAATAAGAAGCTCATTAAATGTGCAATATTATTATTTTTTTTAACCACGCTTGGCTTATCTTTCAGAATAACTGTACAAACAGTATGACAGAGCTAAAACACCATGCTCACATTTTATTTTTTCCTTTTAGGTAAACCTTTCCTAATTTGGGATCGGAAATGGGACTTACATATGCTCACCTTGACGATAAAGTTCCCTAAGGCTAGTAATAGTGCTTTGCAAGCTCTTTATGTTCAGGTCCTATGCTATCATCACCCAAAGTCTGCCTTTTTCTTTTCAGAGCTGGGAACGACAGCTGTGACCTTCCCCAACAGCTGCTCAAGAATGGTGGCCGTTTGAGGAGGAGGAGGCCAACATCCCATCGGAGCTCACTTGTTTATACTGAGAAGATCACAAAATGCCACTGAATTCAGTTGCTACAATACAAAAATGCTTTTATTGTCTTGAGGCTTCGCTGTGAGGACGCGATGTCAGAACCGAGTAACTCCAGTTAAGCAAAGCCATCACTTCAAAGCTCTCCCTTCTTCTAGCTCTGGCTTACCAATGCACAGCGTCTTCAGACACATCTGTGTTGTTAGATCAAAACCACTTTATTTCTCACTGAAGGCAGTGAGAAATTCACTGTTGACTTCAGGGGACCAGCATCCGTCCAACATTTTAAAGACAGTTTTAGTGTACATAGTAGAAAATGGTTACTAAACTAGCTTTTTGGTTATGTCCATTTCCAGGGAAGGTCTGGAATCTCAAGTGGTTAAAAGGAACATCTGTACTTGAAAATAGCAGCCCTGCACATCTGCATCCCAGATGATTTGATGCAGGTAGAAGCACATCTGGACCCCAGAGTACCACGCTGCGCAAAAGCACATCTGGAAACCTACAGCATACAGTAAATTTCTTTAAGTTGATCACCTAAGTCACTGACTATTATTGGTTTAATTAGTACCTTTTCGGGTGATAGAAAAAAAAGGACAGAGGTGAGTTTTGGTCCGGAATGTGAGAGGGACAGTGAGGAGGGAAGGAAAAAGTTACACAAAGTTAAATATCATCCTATCTCTGCAGCAGAGCATGTTTCTTTATAGCTAATACACGATCCTATATGGTTAATACACCTCACAGTAGCAGTAATGCTTCTTTATCACAGGAGCTATCATCTGTGGCCTGTTTCACACCTGGTGCAACAAAGGCCCAGCCTGCCTGGCAAGCACTATGGTGACAGCAATATCAAAGTGACTTTTGAAGATATAACTCTTCTCCTGCCCACTTGATAGAAATGCTGTAATATCTAATATCTACTATGGCCCACCACTTCTTTGGTGCAACTGCTCACAACATTTGTAGCAAGGCTGGGATCCAGCATCTCCCCAGGTGAGGAAAGTCCACAAAACAGCCTGTAACCCGTTTCATCTCCCACACTTCACTTCATCAACGTAATTTGATGTAACACTTTCTATCCGCAAGCCTCCCAGCAGCTCCCAGCTGGCATCATCTCCATTTTACAGCCGTGGCAGGGATGGAGGAAGTCACACACCTACGGTCACCCTGTGAGTCAGGAGCAAAGCTGGGAAAAGAAGCCGCAGCGCCTCGTGCCAAGTCCGAGGCTCCAACAACCCGACTACAAAGATGAAACCAAGAGAACAAGAAAAATCCCAGGGCATGTCTGGAACCAGCTGGTCTTAGCACGATGCAGCTGCTGCTGTCAGACAGACTCACTAAATAATATAGAAAGTCTTTTGGCTGAGACAGACTGCAGTAAGAGCCTATTATCTAGTGCATCCCTATCGTCAGGGGACAGTCTCCTTTACCTGTTAACATACTATTCAAAGATCTAACAGGTTTTTTCCCATTCCTAAGTGGCTGAAATGTGCCAGACAAAGCGTTGCCATAATCTCTACAAAGTTTCTGTGCAAGGAGAAGGTTCACAGAGCTGCAAGAGTAACTCAGGAAAAACTCCCTTGCTAGGCAAGTCTGGGGGGATCCATCCAAAACCTGAACACTTCGTTTCTTGCCACACATCCCTGTGTGAAAAACAGATGCACGGCACTACCACCAGCATGAGCAATGGGAGAATCCCCATTTGCAGCCTTCAGCACAACCGGGCAATCACTGCAGCAGTAACAGCACGCGCTGGCAGTTAGTCAGCACGGACAGCAGTGAACACCCTGTAAATAGAAAGGTGGAGAAATATCCAGGCAGCAGCTTCTTGTGTGGCTTACCAATCACTCGGTTGTGATGAAGGATGGGAAACAGCTAGCTGTCCGATAGGCAGCTCCCCCAGGATGTCATACTGGCTGAAGACTGACAGAAAAGAACGGAACAGAGGTGAATGGAGGAAAAAAAATATCTCATAGGAGGACAAGCCAGGGAAAAAGGAAAAAAAAAAAAAAAAAAAAAGAAAAGTGTGTGTTTTACACGACACACTGACCCCAGAGCTGTGTTCAAGAGCTATTTCATCTTTATTATTTAGCATAACTGTTTGGTAGCTCAGAAAGAAAAAAAAAAACAACTGCTGCAATCTCTCTGCTTTGCAATACTTCTGGAAATAAACACAAAGTTCAATATGGGAATGCAAATAAATTTGTAAGTGTGAAAATTCCTAATTTCTTCCCCCTGTTCAGAGGGGGCTACACAAATGTAGAGGCTCCTTCTCAGATCAGACCCAGCATAGCCTGTGCCAGAGGGGAGCAAAGACCACATGAAGGGACTTGCTGAAGGTCTGCATGGACCAATGTCAAGTCCCACATCTTTAGGGAGGGGAAAACTGCACAAACCAAGGGTTTTTTCTCCCCATGGAATGAAATGTGGCCAGAGCATGGGTGCAGGTGTGCCCTCAGGATGACATAAGAACAGTGACAAACATAAGCCTGGGCTTGTCCTGAGACCCATTCTAGCATGAGAAAATGTGTAAATTATGGCCCACAAACTCAACATTCCTGAATAATGCTGCTGCTTCGGGTTGGGGTACAATTAACACGAGCTGGGCAGAGCTCTTTGTAGGGGTTTGAAAGGAACAGAAGTAGACTGGGGCTTGAGGAAAGGAGCAAGGAAAACCCTCTGTAATTATGGACTGAATTTGTCCTCCCTCTCCACAGCCCCTTCCCTCTTCTACTTCCCTTCCTCCCCCTCTCTCTCCTCCACCTCCATTGACTGCTTCTGGGCGCTTCTTAGCCCTGGAGTTAAATTAATCAACAGGATTAGGCAGAATCGGCCACAACAAGACACTCCAGGCTCAGACTGAGCCCTTGATGCTCTGTAAGGACCTGCTGCCTTGCCTTGAAGCACCTTGGTGCCGTCTGGAGCGATTGGCAGACAGGACCAGACATGAAAACGCATTCATTAAAGTGGGGCTCGGATTTTGTTAGCAGGTAAAGGGGAATCACACATTTTTTCCTGCAGTATTTCTTCTCTTTGTCACCCTCTCTCTCATTTCCTCTCTCTTTCTCTCTTGCTTTCAGCTGCACCATCCTAAAAATTAAATGTGCGTCGGAGGGGAGAGATGAAGAGGAGGAAGGGAATGGCTCTGTGGAGGGCTTTGCTTTAACTGCACCGCTTGTGCTACAATTGGCTTCAGCAAATTCGCCCAGCCACTGCTGGAG